CGTTATTACATAAAATTCGCAATACACATATACATCGGCTGGGACACAATATACGTGTTGAAGACGAACGGTTTTTGTAATTTTTTTTCTTTAACCCATCCATTATAATGTGCGCAGTGACGAGAAGAGCAACGGATTGTTCCACGTTTTTATTATTCATATATTTTTTTTTCAATTATTAAACTTTACTTCGGGCACAGAAATACAACGTTCGGTCGTCCTATGTAGCTGGTCAATAATACTGCACAGCACACGAATACAATAATGTAGGTCAAGAACGGCCGTACGGCACACCACCACCACCACCACCGCCGCCGCCGACGCCAAACCACCGCCGGCGACTCCCGAATCGCATCCGTTTCCGCCGACCCGCGTCGGTCACATGGTATCCACCTATATGGTGTGTTTATAGTGGGCCGTGTTGGACACGACCGAGTCGCCGCCGTCCGCGAGAAGTGCGCGTCTCATTAAAATCGGAATATAATATTATATAGGTATATAGAATTATGTATGAAATAAAAAACAAATTCGGGATAGAAAAAATCCGACGAAAAACGGGTTTCGCGTACACGCACGATAATAATATTATAAATACACTTGTTGCAGACGTGGCGTACGCCTCCGGCGCAAACTCGCCGTTACGCGGTATAAATATATTACTTTATAACATAATATTATGCCGCGTTCTCGTTATAGATCGTTTATGGTATAAATAATATATATATATATATTTATATTATAGACGTGCACTCCTCAAGTGGCGATGACTAATAATATAATATTTATGGTGAGTTCGGTGGGCGAATAAAAATCCGCGAGGAAAAACTAGATCTACACAGACCTCGCCAAAAACGAGTTTCCGTGGCTGCTGCAGGTGCATACAGTTCGTTTTGTGCCCAAAAACTCGTCGACCGCCCAATATTATACCGTTGTATGCATTCATTATAGTAGGTACCTATGATATGCAATTTGAAATAAAAACAAATACGAATTTTATTGAAACACTCGTTGTATACGGTTTTTTTTAGTTTTAGTCTTACCATAACACGTTAGCACGATCCACGTCGAACGATTTGATATTCGAGTAGAGTTTCTTGCATTACGATTACCTACATACAATTGTCAGGACAAGTTATCGACCAATTTAAACGACACTTCACAGATAGAAAATTGATCGGTGGAAGAGGTATAATTCGGTGACCGTGTTGGCAGAACAACTCTATAATATTAGAAGAAATGGATATAAAACAAATTTCCTAAAAACATTCGTTAAATATACGTCGACTGTCCATTAATGTGTATACTTATCAAGACGAGCGATTATAGACAGTACCGTAACATTCTAGCGCAGTATAATAATAGTGTACGAAAAATACAAAAATCTAATCAATCTTAGAGGATTGCCCCGGTATCAGGTGGACCGCGAACGAGTGTACTATTACAATAACTCGAACCGAACGAAAAACGCATTCGGTTTTACTAATATAATACACTAAAATTAAACCGTAAACTATTACAAATTATACACCAGTGTCTACTATATACGAATTATATACGAATTCGTGTAAACGGTTGAATTTAGTTGAATTTTTTTTTATCATCTTTTTACCGAGTTCCTTAATATCCCCCCTGGCATACAACAACGTGCGTATTAACCTGCAGCAGTTTTTTAACGAACGTAATGAGCATAATATATGTCACTCGAAAGCACCGTTGCACCGTGCCAATTTAATAATATTGTATATTAGCGGATAAAGTCCGATTTAAAAAAAAGTCTGTTCAAAATTATTAGGTACATCGTGTATGTATACGTGTTTGTAAAAAATATCACCACACGGTTAAAAAAAAAAAACGAAAATAATAATGCGAATACTGATTAGGAATGTTTTGCATATAATTTGAATACTTGAAACTGCAATACTCAATTAACAGCAGTTTTTTTATACTCGTGTCATCAAAATAACTGATTATCATTATATTTTCGGGAGCTGAATCGCTTTCATCGAAAGGACCTTGGCGTATTGGAAAAGGTGTTGAACCAAGAAATATCACTGCAGATATCGTTTAAATTATAATTGATTTATGTCCCTAAGGTATTCTACTGTTTATTTAACAACTTCCGACTTTTAAATATTTACTGTAAAGCCAAGAAATGAAAATATGACGAGTCTATTTATTTGTAACATTAGGTTTCACGGTTAGAAATATCTACGATATGCAATTAAGCAAATTAAATATAAAAGACAACAACGGAGAAGGTTTGGTGCGTAATTTTTCCGCATCACGTGGTTTTGGTATTACGTATACCAGAAAATTATAAATTACATTAGAATTCGGTCATTCCGTTTTTTTTAGCAATTTTTTCATTATATTTACTCCACATCTCCACGTAATCTTTATACTATAATAATATTTATTATTAAACGATAAAACGATAGAAAAAATAATAATATTAATGATGATGTATGTAATAAAAGTTATATATACGAGGACGCCGTCGGTCAAATTGAATAACGCGTTTTTTCTTAAAATCCGGTAACGCGAAACAACAAAAAAAAATCATTATAAACCTCTCTTCGATTATACGGCAACTACAGCTAAAGGATTGGACGTTATAAGTAGTCATACGCTATTTATTTCGCGTTATTACAATATTTTTTCTTCCCGTTTTATTAACGGTAAAACGTATATAATACACCGGATTTCGTATCCCCCCTTCACACACACACACACACAGTACCTATTATTATTAATTCGGTCTCGTAAGTTTAAACATTTGCATGATTTTTTTTTTGAAACATTAGGGAAAAGTACCAAGTGTGGTACAAAATAAATCCATTACATGTAATAATAGTAATACAAATATAAAGTTTAATAGTGCATATATTTTCTGTGTATTTTTGGTATATCGTAGATTTTTTGAGTTAGTAGCGCATATTATTTCATATACATTTAATTTATAATTTAAAGTGCATGCGTATTTATGCGTTTTTTAGTGCAAAAACCTACGAGTCCTAATCATAATTGTTAGGTATTAAACAGTCGATTGGCGGCTGTTGTCATACATCGTTTGTGTGCAGATAATAATATTGCATATTCGTCATTCGGCCACAATGTAGGCGTTCGTATTATTATTCGAGTAAATTAAAACGGGCCGCTGAACACGACGAGGCATCCTCGTTACATTATTGTTATTATTGTACAAAATCCCCGTTACACGAATTTGTTTATTTATTATAATCGTATATAATATGTGTGTACAAAATATGTGTCACATGGTCCAACCGCAACGATCACCTTACGATAAATAGATAGTTATGCACCGGTGCACGGTCGAAGGGCGTCAGCGACAGAGGCAGCGCACACGTGTTAATCGACCGTTTCTTCGGACTCCGGCAGGTATATAATATCATAATGAGCTCGGTATGTACAACCTAAAGCCCGCGTGTCCGTATACCACGAATAACCACGCTATTATTATGTGTGTACCAAGACGACGGAGTGAGAGAGTTATAAGTCGATTCGCACGAGTTACGTCGACGGCTACCGATGATAGCGCGATGACCAAGTATAGGTATACGTATATCACACTAAAACGGCGATTTTCTCGCAAGAAGCGACACGCCGATGTGGACACGCGACGAAAACGAGTTCACGGCGATCAGCAACGATCGCGGAGACCGATTTTCTAGAGCCAAAACGTCCACTGCTTTAGTGCCATTACGTTCTGACGTAAAACGACGAAATAATCATAGGACATGATACAAATTATATTATACCCGATAAAAATAATAGGCTGCAGCTATAGCCGGTGCAGTGGGGAAGGACAGGGAAAAGGACAAAATCATATCTTCAAACATTGCACATTTTTAAAGAAAACCTTAGTCTTTTGTAGTTAATTTTCTGTAATTACACTGTTTCAGTTGTACATTAATATTAATAAAATTGTATCGGTACCTATAGTATACGAATTATGCACAGTAATCACTTATAAAAGTTTAATAGTTACGTTTTTATAAATTTATATAATACTTCGTTGTCTTAATATGTAGTTAAAATTGTCTGAACGCATTAACTTCTTAAAGAGGACCCTGCATGTGTTGTCTCCATATAACTGATAAGAATAATACCTCAAACCATTTTAATTCAGAATAATCAATTTTTCAATGTTCTTTTCAATATCAGGTAGAATAATTTAACTTATAATCAAAAATTGTTCAAAAACATTTTTACGGATCTGAGTAGGCTTTATGTACATTTTAAATACCCATAAATTGCTTCAAAATTAGAAGATGTAAAAAAAATCCTAAATAATATTTTTATATTTGCATTTGACAATAATAGGTCAGTTTAATATAATATTAAAATAACTACGCTAACTGTATTACGAATATAACAATAACGCTGTTTTCAGAAATTTCGTTATATTGTTTTAACTTAGGCCATTTCGCTACAGTGTGTAAACATTATGAACGAGACGATGGAAAGGATTGCATGGGTTCTAGGAATTATAGTATTCATACGATCTCTATAATTTATTATTCATCATTCTGCAATTTTCGGTATTTTTCAAAAATCCATATTTATTTATCTATATTATTATAATCCGCATATCGCACAGGTGCAATGAGCCCTATAGCTGCATAGTAAATATGCAGACATATCAAAAATGCTCTCACTCGGATCGCACACAGAAAAACGGAATGCATTTTATAACATATTATTATCACATTTTATAATATTATATAGGTAGACACGGCTTAAGTTTGCGCTCGTGTATCAGTTTTTCGTGCGGCACCAATTTGCGTTCGAGAATTTTTTTCTCTCCACCCGTATACACGGCGTGATATTATTATACCGCGGGATGGGTTTTTAATAAGCCGACGTGTGTGGGCCCCCGGCAGTTATCGTGGTGCAATTGGTACACCCCAGTGCTTCTGCCGATATTTTACAATTTTTATGGTCTTTTTTTCAACATTTTTTTTTCCTTTTCATTTCAGACAAGACCACCAGAATGAGTGCGCTGTACGCGTGCTTCGTGATGCTGACGATGGCGTCGGCAACTTCTTTGCAAGACTGCGAAGCTGACATGACCGGATTCGAGCTGGTTACCGGGTACGTGTTCACAGCACCCGATGACTTGCTGGACAGCATACCCGGCACACTAATGTTGACCGACTGCCTGGAGGCATGCCATGCGAACGACACATGCGGATCGGTCAACTATGAGACCGGTCTCTGCGTGCTGTTCTCGTCCAACGCCGACGCATATCCAGGTATGACAATGCACTCTCGACTGCGACGGTTTAGGGAAAACTTAAAAAATTTAAAATTGATACCATACATTCTATATTAAATCAAATGCACTAGACATTATATTGTTAGTTCGATATTCATTATTTATGTAGGAAACAGAAATGGTTCCAACATACGAAATTAAAATAACGGGTCGTCGTTATTGAAAAAAAAAACCTTAAAAAATCGTCACGATTACAAAAATTTAAATTGTTTTGCAAAGCCGCAAGGAAAATAGTATTTTAGTATAGATAGTGAGTGTTATGAGCCTATGCAGAGAACCCACACAGGATGCTCTACGGGAACGATGAGAGTTCCGCGTTAAGAGAATCAGGCTGTATAATATTATATCATTACATTAGGCTTATAATGATATATTATGTGCGTAGACAATAATTACACGCATATAATAATAACAACACGATATCACACACATGATGCACATATACATATTATGGAATACGCGTGAACACTGCACGGTGCGTGTCTGGGATGATATCTTGTGAGGCGGCATGACCATGCGGTGGGCGGGAGGGAAGTTAAAAGGTGCGCGGGCGTGGATATCGTGGGAGTGTCGACGCTGCTTCTATCCGGTTATAGGTCGGTAGCACGAACGCGGGCCACACATATATTATATATATAATATATATATATATATATATATATACATATGATATGCATACTGTACATGGATAGATAGTGCCGTGTCGTCGTGATGCGCCAAAGTCGTCTTAACCCCCTCGAGCTTTATATACAAAATATACGAATATATTATATTATACGAGCGTTTTCTCAGCGGAGGTCGACCTCTATCGGTTCCAATAATCAATTCAAATATTGCACACTCGCTGTACGCGCAGTCTCTGTAAACATCAGAAAACCGTATATCCTTATAACATATAGGTATATACGATTCTAACCTGGTATCGGATCATATATTATACGAGTCCCTTACATTATGGGAGGTTAGAAATATAATACATTTTTTATATAATCTTTTCGTGTCCTCCAGCCGGTAAACGGTTCTCCGGCGCAAACTCACACCGACGAAGTGGCGCAGCCAGACAATCGACTGTCGTGATTGAAATAAACCAAATTGGCGTTACGAGTGGTGCACGCGTTTCTCCGGTGTCGAGCGTCACGGAAAACGACTCAATTTCCAACGCACAAATCGCATTTATGATTGCGGGACGACGAATACCTAACTACGAGTATATTAAAATATACCAAAACGTTCAAATATTTTATAACGTAGATACCAACCTGCGGGTAAACGAAGCGCATTTATTCTACATTATTCATGAACCCCCAAAGAGTTTAATTATTGTATGAATATCGTGAAATGTTTACAGATCAGGGGGATTTGAATTTCACCCGACAGCTGGCTAAATTACACTACAGTAACTAGAACATCCCAGAATAATGATAAACAGAGTTTTCGAAATTGTGTATGATAAAAATGGTTTTATAATTATTAGGTAGTATCCAAAATTTGGATCGGGCTCGTCCTGTTTTCCAATAAATAAATTTATAATATCTAACATTTTTTCACGCCAAATACGGAAGACGCTGAGTATTAATATTAATATTTGTGTACATTCAAAGTATATAATATAATAACAATAAAAGTTTATTAAGCGCATATGAAAGATATAATAAGGATAGGTATAATTCAAGTACAAAACGAGATAATTGAGCAACGAAAAATGTACGCAGATGGCATTTTCAGCGAGTTAGATGATGATAAATTCGCGACCAGAGAGTAACTGCAACAAGTGGGTGGGGCAGTATTCGGCGTTTATACATTTTCGTGGAACAAGCGATTTATGACGTTGGCCGCCGAGGGAGTTTTTTTCGCTCCGTCGATAATATTTCGTTATTTTTGTCGGATGTCGACGACCGCGAGATGCGCGAAAAACGGGATAACGCGATAATCGGCCGACGGTCATGTTCGGACACGGTTTAAACCGAAGCGATTATTATTATTATTACTATCACGATATTTTGTTGTTATTATTATTATTATTATTATTATTATTATTATTATATATATACGTATATTTATACACGCCTCGGTGTATTCAGGCGCGGATTTTCTTTATCAATTGTACGTGTCCTTAGCCCAATCATTGATTATTACCTAAACGCCGCCGCGGTGTGCCTCAGGCGCAGCCGATTAACCGCGCGATAAACGGTGCCTCCCTACCTATCCCACAGATCAACGAAAGCGACGAGCAGTTCAATTGTTTTCGTCGATAAACGAGTGCGGGATCGCGTGCAGCGACATCTCATATTATTATCCATGTCCAGTACACAACTTAATCCAAGTTATACCTACCTATACATAAACTAAATTGGGTACAATTCAGTTCCGGGTGTACGTGAATATTAGCTTAGGGCTGAATCAAGATATTCATACGTATAAAAGTAATATCATAATTTATTTTACAATAGAATTTCACGAAAAAATATTATGATAATTATTATTAATTAAATACCTAGGTACTTGTCGAAAATGTGGATCCGGGACAGTGGTGTACCTGAATAGCCTATCTAGAACGCCGCGCAATCATCATAACACTCAATTTATAGTATTATCAAAATTCATTGGAGCCAAAATAAACGCTATAATTATTACGAGGCACCGTAAATACCTAACATAACCTAACCACCCCCGTATTATATTATAATAAATTTATAATTTTACAGTATCGCATAGATGTGTTCCTTGGGGTTTTCTCGTCTAATCCGCACATCACGTTTATCCGATACGCACCGTTCCTCAGAACTATATTATATACATAATATTGTAATAATGGGTGATACCTCGGGGGACTTTCCAAACAACCGATTTTTACATTAAAATACGCGTCACGTTTATGAGCCCCGCAGATATGCGTTCAGATACGCACGGCGACAAGCTTTATTATATACACAGTGCCCATTTTATTATATTTAACGCGCACGATATTTTTATTTACATTTCTACTTTTGTTTTGTAGGAGCATTGAGCAAGTCACAGTTTCCAGTGTTTACAATATACGCGCAAAAGACGTGTTTGGGTATAAAACCATGTGAACGAGCCTGGTGTTTCGACCGGGTGCAGGGTTACAAGCTCAAAGGGTTTGGCAAGAAGAAACAAGCTGCAACGTCGAGACAGGACTGCTTGGAGCTGTGTCTAGGCGAAAGAGAATTCTCTTGTCGGTAAGTAAAATAAGACATAATAATATGCTCTTTTTCATCAAAAAAAAAAAATATATATAAACATATACATATTATACAACCACTGTGGCCTTATAAATATATATTCGGTATAATAGTCGATATATTTAGAATACATAATAAGAGACATTTTTGAAGATTTAAACACTGTTCACGTGAAAAACCTCGAAAACCATCGTTAAAATTTCAAATATGATTAGAGTACTAAAAAATTATGGTATTCTTAATCAATAACCACTAATATTTTCTTAAAAATCGTAGAAAAATCAAAATTTAAAAATAAATTGAACCATCAAAAAATGCACTATAGAAGTGATCTACATTGCTGAAGCTTTTAAAAATGACTTAAAAATGTATAGAGGATGGAATTTGTATTAAAACGGATTTAACTATAAATATAATACGATCACGCCATACCTGCTGTCGCCAACTATAGGAACTATAGAATCTCCGCAATTCGCTTTATCGTCTTACGAAAAAAACGCTTTTATATTAATTGAACTTTAAATAGCTCGTCAATAGTTTACTCGGTTCACTTAATCGACAACGGACGGGATCGCATTGTTTCCCGCGATCACGATCGACAAACAATGGACATTAAAAACAACACTTAAAGCGCCTCGCACGCAAGCGTCTCTTTAACGGTATATACCAAATCAATGAAAGAGGGAGGTAAACAAATTATAGATCTTACACTAAAATCATGGGCCAACGAATATCGTTTTTTTTTCACTCACACACCTCCGTACACATTCAACAATAGTTTTGAATCGAATCGTTTTGCACGTAAAAATATAAAAGTGATAGGATTAGTCACGTGTTACAAATTTCAAAATATTTATATTATTATTTTAACGGTCCTATAATAACAATTCTGTAAGTGTATAAAAGATAAAAAAAAAAACAAACAATGTGTACATACTATCTAGGTACATTTACACGAAAAACTAATAACATTATCATAACTATTATAATAACTGTATAGTTTACTTTATACGCAGTATATAATATGACCATCATATAACAGTCCGTTAACCCACCCACACATATTATTCACACGCGTACACGACGTTTATCCAAAAAAGTAATAATTGACATTCCATCAGATCAATATAATAAAATGCGCAGGTGTGTCGTGTGTACCACCCCCCCACCCCTCAGAATCCACTCACCGATCGTGTCACATTAATCCAATCGATTTTCAAAGTGCACGATTTTAATTAATTATTAATATCGCCGTGTTAAATTTGCAATCCTTTGGGAATAAAAAAAAAAAAAATGTAACAAAAACGTGTAAAACGGGAATAATGCGCGTTGGAAACATTCCAATACACCTATAATATGTGGTGGACTATTATATGTACGACGACGGTCGCTGTAATACATGTATATAATATTCACGGACATATTGTTATACGAACATACATATAATATAATGTTATATGTGTGAATAAAAAAAAAACGTGTCAGAGGACCGAATAACGTATGAAAATGAAGACGGATTATTATTATTATTATTATTATTGTAGTTGATATGTCGCGCACATATTTTATACATTTACGATTTATCTGTGGTATTCTCATGATGTTATTTATGATAATAATACATATAAACATATGTATGTATATATATATATATATCTATGTATCTGAATCGGATCATCTGGAAGGAAAAAACCGTAGTCCCATCCTGCAGCCGTCCATGCGGATAATGGAAATTAAAACGTGTCATTGACTCGCCGGGACGTCCGCATGACAAATCCAATAGAAAAATTCAAATAAATAGTAATATCACATCGCCTCGTTTTATATTATTATAATACGTTTCTGAGTATTCGATTGCTATTCACATATTATATTACACGTGTATTTCGTCATATATTATGCCGCGAGTGTGATGGTGTTTCGCTACAACCGATTTGTCGTCGTCGTGTTCGTTGTATAATAATATTATTATTACTGTATTAATAAGTTTATCGGCCTACTAAGCGCCGCGACTGAGGGCGAAACACACAACGGCAGATTTGCACGGAACGGAGCGGTTTGAGTCTCGGCGACGACGGTTACCGGAAACCGGTTAGTCGTCATCGGCGTGGTCGTCGGAGCTTGTTCACCTACTGCTGGCTGCAACAGCCTCTGCTGCCCTACTGGCGCACATTTTAAAATTCGTGCTGCAGCAGTATGATAATATTATTAATTGTTATATTATTGTAATATCCTCTGACATTTTTAGTGTTTTGCGAAAATTCGATTATACTGTAAACCGGAATTTTCGGAATGTCTTTTTCCGTCTTTATTATTATTCACGGCTGACGCGTATAATATAATATGCACATAAGTTGTACACACGAACGACCTGGCGGACAATTCCGATTCGACCGGAATGTTCGCCGTTTACGTTTAAACTCGCAATCATCCGATCATTGCAGCCGAAGGTTTATTATATCGTGTATAGATAAACCGTAGATAGGCCTACGGCCGCGAGTGTAGGTGTACTACGATTCGTCTGTAAATTAACGACAACACGATTTTCACCGTTAATTCGTTGTTACGATCACTCCGTGGCCGCCGAGGTGTCGGAATACTTCAATGAATAGCAGACTCTTCAATGATATTTTTATAGCAGTTCCGTGTAACAAAAACTTATATAGGGTTATTATTTAACCGTTACATCCATCCGTCGACGTTATTATGTGGAAGCCAATTACTTGTGTATACATGCCATGTGATTCACCACTAAAGATGATATTCGTTTTACTTAATAATTTATTTATTATTACCTACCCACTCTTTTTTTAAACTATTACTCGGGAATATCGTTGACATTTATAGTGTCCTTGCTCAATGTTCCAAGACTTCGTAAACCATTCATTGTACAATTTATTCGTCATTTTCGAGACCAATTAGGAAGCTGTCATGTAAAATAATTCCCGTCATTTTAGAATTTCAAATGCAGAATTATAAACGTAAAAACAAAACTGAGACTAGTCCGACTGATGCGACTAGGCAATCACTTTTTTTTAGTTTTAAAAAATCCATCCAAATACGGGCGAGCAGAATTTAATAAGTACCTATACTACCTACCGTCTACCAGTATATAACTCATATAAGCGACTCATCTCGACGACCCAGGTCAACTGGTTTACGGACCAATAATTCAATACGCCTGGAATTCTATTTACGGAATAAAATCATACTGATTGATAAAATATATATATATTTGAAATATTCATTATATAATAATACATGCGAATACCTATATATATACGATATACATGCATACCTAATTGTATTCTGCAAAGTCATCAGTTCATCACATAATTATACATAAATCATTATTATATTATAGTGCACGAATGATAAGCATACGCCACTACGTTTTAATATAGGCACATTCCTAGTATGGCAACCGTCCAAGTAGTTGCAACAAACAAAAAATGGACCGTTGCCATCGTCAGATAACGAACCACCGACATACTGCAACGGATTGCGATGGCTCAATAAAATATATTTATGACACATATAAAAAAAAACGACCAATGGTTAAACGAAACGTCCGTCGCTCTTATGTGATAATTTGAAACGCGGTATAGGTGTATTCCACGTTAATGTCATATCCATAATATTAGATACACATCATAAAACTCTTAATCAAAGTGAAATTGTTAGTATACATGTCAGCCGAAAAGATAGGCGCCGCACCAGCACCAAAGTGTATAATTTTTCTCGTGTTTTCTCGTTCTAATCGCGTTTTCCACTAATCAAAACCAATCCGGTTAGATACAGAGAACGGTAGCACTGGTCATTGGTTATTGACTGATGTATTATAACATATCATTATATCTATATTTGAAACATATTATAATATATAATGTTTGATGTCGATACGAAAACGGACATGACAGCCGTTGATATTTGAAGCGAAAATCGCATTTAGGTAGTTTCCACAAACGCCCAACCGACAAGCTATGTTTACCACAACGTGGGTGGAAGTAATCTTCACCTAATTTTTTTAATTCGATGTTTCTCATTATTATTTATACTAGGAGACATGGTCGTGGTTTTTTCAATTAACTTATTGTTTAGTGTTCCTGCTTTATCTACTGAGTTGATTATATAAAAAATATTATTTTTGTACCTATTCAAATAAAATAATAATAGGTAACGAACATACTAAGCTCGTATAATAATTCCTTTTAAAAGGAAATTGTAGTTTGTTCTACTTGTAACTTTTTCGTCACCAGACAGGAGAATCAATTGCATCAATAAGAAAAAATACCTCCCACCCTATACACACACACACACACACACACAAAAGACACTGATCCAAATACATTATAATATTTGTTAAAATATTAAGTCATGCACGTTAATATGTATTATAGATCGGCCAACTACAACAACGGAACGGCGGAATGCGATATGTCTGACATGGACAGGCTGACGGTGGCCGGCCAAGGGGCATTCGAACCGGCAACTGGCATTGACTACTTGGAAAACAACTGCGTGGACGAGCCAGTAAAGCTGTGCGAGTTCAAAAAGTTCCCCGGCCGCATACTCAAGACCGTCGATTCCGTGTACCAGGACGTGGGTTCTCTGGAAGACTGTCGGGAGCTGTGTCTCAACTCACCGTACAGGTGTCATTCGTACGATTACGGCGATACCGGTGAGCTCGTGTGTCGGCTCAGCCATCATTCCAGGGCCACGTTGGCAGACATACAGGTGACGATTGACTAATATTATAAATGATATAAAATACAATATCGACATCATGTTTATGGTTATTGAGTTATACTATTTAAGCATTATTTCGCACTTCACAACGAGAATAATTTCCGGCGGCCACATGATTATTATTACCATAAAATAATATATTAACGCCCGAGTATGCGTGATCTCGATCGCTGAGAAGTACGTGTTTTAGACAGCAGTCAAAACAACTACTACTCGAATCCATTTTTAATAATATAATAATATATACAGAATATGATGTTGTTGTACAATATCTTGATTCTCAAGCTCTTATAAAATAACGATCTCTGTCTGGATATCGAATTTATCGTATTTCTCAAACGTATTTCTCGTACACGAAAGAAGTAATACACGACGACTACGACGTTACATCTATTTATCGCAGAAATATTACCTATTCTTACTCCCGTGTAGGAAATAGGTAGGTACTCTATGAAAATGAAAAATAAGATTCGATTGTTGAGTGAACTTCAATAATGAGAAAACACATAAATATATATTTTTTTTATTATTATTTGTGTGCGTGTTACTGTGTGCCGTATCCTTTCCCAAACACGTTCAGTTGTTGTAACCCACATTCGAGTGGTGCCAAAAACGGAATCCTTCCACATACAAACACATCGAACACACAATAATACTAATAATAATTGTAATAATAACAAACTAACGCCACGGTACGTTATCCCCGGGATGTCGGTGTTGTGGGGGACTCTATACATGTCGACCCAGTTTTCGGTTGATTAGAATCGGTATGCCGATGAAAATTATGACACGAACGTTTATTTTTGATATTGCTATTTTCCGAAAGAAATTCTAAAATATTATCCTTTTCTAAAGGTGTCTGCCGTTAAGTATCTATAGCCGACGGATGATGAATCACAGTATTTTCATTTTTCAACGATTTCTCTATATTATATTAACCTTGAACGTTGTATATGGATTATGAGCAGTGGAAATAAGTACTTTCATTCAAAACAGATTTAGCACATAACATCGGAATTACAAAAAAGTCACAGCCAACTGACTCCAATTTCGCGGTTTTTGATAGAACATTCTAATATTTTGATTAAGTATGATATGTCCAAACAGTTAATGGTTTCCAGAAAAGAAGGACCCAGTTCACGCATGCGACATTGTTATTTGTCAGGTTACGTTAATTAGAATATCAAAAACATAATAATATTTATCTTGGCAAACATAATTATAAGTATTAATATCCCGTCATTTTAAACGCAATTGTCATCACTTTTGTTTTTATACATCACACAATAGGTAGGTATAGAAACCTAATTTAATTAAAATACACTTTTTACGTAAAATATTTAAGTCAATTGTTTGAAGTTCTATAGTACCAACGATAAGTTTAACAGTACTTTTTGAATCGTTTAAATATTTGAAAAAACCCGTCCACCCGCATGCAGGTCAACGACATTTCACACGATATATTATGTACACGGCATTCTAAATCTGCGGGCGTAAAGAATACTAATTTGTTCGTAACCCATTACAATAATGCAATTTAAAATGTTTCAGGACCCCTACTTAGAAGTTCCAGAAGCTTCCACTTATGAGCTTAACTCTTGTTACAACATAAGCATCGAGTGCCGTTCAGGAGACATGGTAGCTAGGATTAAGACCAGCAAATTATTCAATGGCAAGATCTATGCGAAAGGAAATCCTAACTCATGTGTTCAAGATGTACGCGGAAGTTTGGACTTCGAACTCGAAATGGCTTACGACGACGTGGAATGTAACGTAAAACAACAAGGCCTAGGTAGATACATGAACGACGTCATTATCCAACACCATGACACCATAATCACCAGTTCCGATCTTGGTGTGGCCATCACGTGCCAATACGACTTGACCAATAAAACAGTTTCGAACGAAGTAGACCTGGGTATACAGGGCGATTTGAAACCAGCCATGACGGAGGAAGTTATTGTGGACTCACCGAACGTCGCCATGAAGATTACAGACCGACAGGGGGCTGATGTTAAGCCTTCAGCCGAAGTGGGAGATCCACTGGCACTGCGATTCGAAATATTGGACCCGAACAGCCCGTATGAAATATTCGTCAGAGAACTGGTAGCTATGGATGGCGTGGATTCCAGTGAAATTGTCCTAATTGACGCTGATGGATGTCCAACCGACCACTTTATCATGGGCCCTCTGTACAAATCATCGGACTCAGGAAGCGGGAAGGTAATACTTGTGATCCACATTCGTTAAAAAATATTTGATATTTAAATATGTAATAAGCATAATACATGAAGTGGAGGATTCTACGATGAGCATGTCAAATCGAGCTTACAAGACAGTCCTTAATCAATTCCGTTTTTTTTTCAGATACTATTATCATACTTCGATGCGTTCAAATTCCCGTCATCTGAAGTGGTCCAATTCAGAGCACTGGTCACTCCTTGCATGCCAACCTGCGAACCCGTCCAGTGTGACCAAGAAGACGCTTCGGGAGAACTCAGGTCCGTACACTCGTTTGGCAAGAGGAGGCGGCGAAGGTCCACCAAGAGTACATCGGATGCCAGAGACGACATGCTGCTCGTGCAGAGCATTCAAATCACCGACAAGTTCGGATTCGGCGCACAACAGGCATCGCCGGAAATGAATCCTACGGACACGACGGCTTTCAGCATAAAGCACCACGACTACAACATTGATAGTTTATGCGTTAATTTGTTCGGTGTTATAATATCGTGTCTAGTATTTCTGGCAGTTCAAGTTGCCGTGCTAATAGCGTGGGCGTACGTTTGGAACAAAAAGAGACACGTCGACAAGTACCATCAACAGGATGGACTGTCCGTGAGTATGAGCATACCGGTGGGACGGACGGACAGCATGTGCAAGCTGTACGATACGGGGTACGCGAAACGATACTAAGTGATCGACTTTTAATGATCCATAATGAGATAGATTGCCATGACAGATTTTTTTAACCTAAATTAGCTAGATACAAGTTATGAATTTGTTAATCATATTGATAAACAATCTTTTAAAAGTGACATCGCGCTCAAATAGCCTTAACGGTCAGAATAAATAAAAAACATTTAGTATTTATAAGACCGTTAAATTATATATAGGCTAGGCAGTTCGACTTTAAGTTTAAACGTTTTTATCTGATTATAATTGTAATCAAAAAAAAAAATTTGTAAGTTAATTTTTCGATCACTTGTCAAAGATAGATAATTAATTAAAAAGTCTTATTACTAGAAATGATTTTATATATATATATAACAATATATATATAAATATCAAAACAATTTTCCAAATCATTTTTTTTTTAGATTAAAGTTAAAAATATTTCAATATTTCAAATAAAATATTTAAATGATATTTTTTCTATGCCTAACGAAATTTGAATTTTAATAAAAACTAGGTTTTAAACTACCTAATTGATAAATTCAAATTATCTCAATACTTTAATCAAGTACCTACTAAAAATTAAAATTTGTATTATCAACAAATAATAATAAATTGAATTATTTGAATAATTTTTGCAAAATTTCTAATTTTTATAATCCAACTGAATGATGATAAAACAATTAACTACAACCGTTTATTAGTACTCTCAATACTATAAATTCGCAATTCTTTACGTTTATTTATTTTTTGAAGATTTTACTTAATAATCAATAATACGGTTCAGCCAACAAATTTATTTTATTTTAGAATTAAGTAACATGTAAGTATTTATTGGGCTGAAACGTAGACGATTTTTCCTACGATAAACATATGTATGTTTGAAATCATTCAAACAAAATTTATATAAAACTCAAAATTGTTGGAGTCTTGTCTACGTTTCTCAAAGCTAAATTATGACAACTTTCCCTATCTTGTGGCATAACATGTATTCAATAGCTTATATTTATAATTTAACCTTTACCTTTCATATTTTTACCATATATGAATAAATTAACCAATAACCATAGTGATAATTAACCAAGAAAAGGGAATATTAAGTCAGAATTGAGTACTAATATTAGGTACTACACATAAGTAGTACTTTTGAGATGTAATTACTCATTTATAAATTAAGATTATTTTTTTACTTTAAATATTATATAATATAGTCTAATGTAGTCTTCTAATTATTAATTATGATAATAATATTTATTGATAATAATTTTAAGTAATATTTGTATGGTAATTAAAAATAATGTGAAATTAAATTTTAAAAAAATTGAACAAACATTATTATGCTGTTTTATTTTATTTTTTAGTGGTATCTTGTTTACCAAATAATGTTACTTAATCATATTTACTTACCCTAAGTCGTTGATCATTTACTGTCCAAACACGTGATGCCAAATCATTAGATGCTGCCACTATTTGTCCACCTGTGCTGTCAAACTCAACTGACATGACACCTGCATTACTACCAATCAACATCCCTTTGCATTCAGCAACACCTACATACACAGTTCAAATAAATTGATTAATTATAAGATTTTAAAATGAATGTCCAAATAATTGATTATTTACTAAATACCTTTAGACACATCCCACAGCTTCACTTTACGGTCTTCCCCTCCAGTTGCTACCATTCGATCTACTGGACTCCATTTCACAGCACTTACAACACCATCGTGAGCGTCCTAAACGTTTTAGCACACACTTTAGTATAAGGAAACTATGTACTTTAAAAGAAAAATTGTAAAACAATAACAACTAAAATAATACTTGCAAAATAAAATAAGCCAATCTACACAAAATTACTTAAACTATTGTAGGTAATTAAAAAACATATTTATTTATCATATATATTATTATTAGTCATGGATTTCCTAGTATTGAGCCAAACATCAATATAAAACAACCATATTATTAAGTATATTAAGTATACTATACAAATACATAAGTACTCAACAAGCATTATATTTAAAATTTAAATAGTATATAATATTAACATCAACTTTTTAAATACTTACAAATCGAATGGTAGCTTTGCTAGGCATGGCACATGGAGATGACATAATCGGACCAATACTATTGCTAACAGCAGTTGTCAAACATTCTGCGGTTACACCACGCATATCGTTTGCTGCTTCTTTAAGTTCATTTTGCATAATGGCATTTCGTGCTCTATAAAATAAAATAACAAAATGTATACATAAATGTTAGTAAAACAATAATAACTATTGACTTTTAATTGTAATATAAAAAATAGTACAATATTAAATCGATACAATTAAATAATCTTCAGGTACTACAAATTAAAAGGTAGACAAAAATCATTAAAAAAATAACACAATTCCAAATAACTAATCAAAGATATACAAAATTAGATTGTGATATTTTTATTCAGGTAAAGCCCTGATTAAATTGAAATGTTTAGGTACTAATGTTTTCAATTTAACATGTAAGAAAAAAACCAACATTAATATTTTAAAAGCAATGATAAATCAGCAAATTGAAGACAAAAATGATTTTCTTGTGTCTAAAATCTATGTATTATGTAAGAACTCTATATTTTTTACCCAACATAAAAATTAAATTAAATCCATAGAAGTAGCTCTGCTGTAAAGTAGTTTTCAAGTTCCCTTGTCATTGAGTACACCACTGGAATATAGGTATGAGTTAAATACTTAAATTCGAGTACAAACATTGCATTTGAAAAATGATTCTGAGCGAAGGTGTGAATGCGAGCCTTTATTTTTAAAGATATATTTATTCATAAATCACAATTTTTAAAAAAATGTATTATTTCAAAATTTGAACACACTCACATTTCACGAGAAAACATTTCATTTCATGAAATCTAAAATTGTTACCTAGTCAAAATAAGTTTTTGTAGATAATAGATGATAGAAATATAATTAATATTTTAGGTACTAATATAGGTAGGTATATACATAGATAGGTATTTTATACTTTAACAAAATCTTAACCCAAAATGTTAAGAGTTAAGACAAACATACATATAAATTTTTGTTTAAAATCTTTCTATACATATATACTAAAAAAAAAGTAAAATATTTATTTCAAATCTACTTACCTACTTAAATAAATAAATATGTAAGCATTTTGAGTCCATTGAGTTATTATTTTATAAAGCACAACTTAAATTAAAGTTGAATAATTTAAAACTATACATACTCAGCGTCCCAAATATAAGACTAATAAAACCCAATAAAATGAAAATGTTGTGTACATATCATATATTTATTAGCATTAAGTTATCAACTAAATATTTTAATATGATAATTTGTATGTTTTTTAATTGTATAATGTAATTGAATGAACTAAAGGTAAACATTTAAAACGCCATATAGGTACTTATTAAATTACATAAATCAATAATTACCATTTATCACGTCTTACAATAAACTTGATGGTCTCAGTTTAAACAGATTCTTAACTCAATACAAATTTTTGAATTTGATTAAAATAAAAAATATTACATTCAAACTTTATGATTGATTTTGAAAGAACCTTGTAATTTATATAAATAACATTCTATCGTAATCTATTTAAAGACAATTAAACTTTTTTTTTTGTTAATTTTTGTAGCACATTGCATTGGAATAATAAAACAAAAATTAAATTGTGTCTTAATACATTAATACATATATTATTTTCGTCAAGTACCTATTTAATAACATGTTCTAATATTAAAAAGATGTGTCCTTCCTTCAATCAAATTAATTATAAGTAAGTGTTTCGGCATGCTGCAGTCCGAATTCTAAAAATATGAAAGCATCATTGTAATAGAGTAATAGACTATTGTAGTAATAGTCATACTACGGCATGCACATAAATGCAGTTTTATCATAGTGCACACAAACATAGTAATGTAACTGCATCTAACTAATTAATTTAAGACAAGGCGCAAACCGTGTGCTAATTGTTACCTGACTAGATGGTCGTTTTCCTCGTTCAACTTCTCGGCGTCCTTAGATTTATAAGTCATTAACCTGACCACGAGTTCTCTGTTTTCATCCTGCAATGAAAATCGACGACGCGTTAGCTTAGCGAACATTTTGTGATTGTGCAGCGCGTGTGTCAACTGACTGGCACGCCAGTGGGGGCAGATTCTCATGCAATATTATAAATAGACCCGTCTCAAAGCGCCACGGTTTAGGTCTTTAATTGGCATTACACAGTATTTTTTTTATTTTTTTATTTTTATTTATTTAATTTTAATTTTTACAATCTGTTAAAGTATTTACAATAAGTAAAATTGATATGGTGGAAATATTGTCCGGACTCACGCGAGTTAGGGGAAGCATTGAACTATTCATTATACAACAACTATATACCATACTTATTTAACCAAAATAATTTTTTTTTTAATATTGCTTGATTAAAATAAACAAAGCCGGTAATATCTGAAGACACAAAGAATATTATATAATGATGAAAACAAGTAAATTTAAAATGTATATATCTCGTCTGTACCTACAATCAAAACTTTAAAATTATTGAAAAAAATAATAGTTAATAACAACGAGGTAATGAATGAGCAGGCGTTACACTTCAACCAAATAAATAGACAGATAGGTACGTTTGTATAAATCCAACATCATGGATAAAGGATGATTTTTTTTTTATAAATTTACGATGACATTATTTATTTCAAAAACACTAATAGTCTACAGAGATTATAAAACAATATTTTACATAAATTAATTTCATTCAACTATGTATAAAGTAAACTATATTATTTCCATTGATATTTAAATGAATTTAACAAAAGTATATATACATATATATTATATATGCATCATAAATATGTTACTTAATATTCATTACATACACTTAAGTATAATATACTTAATATGCCTGTTCTTGGGTCGTAAACAAAATAAGATTTAAATTTTACTATCTTAACCGTATAGTGAAAAATGAAATGGCAAATTAATTATTAATAATTGACCACTAAATATAAATTATATATTTATTTAATCACAAAAAGAAATAAGTTTTAGAAGTACAACAATATATATACCAGATAGGTACCTCCTACCTTTATTTTCTGTTAAATAGTTGAGAATTTTGTTCATGTGTTTTTTAAGAATCCCATATTATTTTATAACCAATATAATGTACATTGTACATGCACACCTATTATTAACTAATTAAATAAGAAATGCTATCGGAAATATATTTTGATCCAATTGATACAAATCTAAACTAAATGATGGCAGCAATATTATAATCACATGTATGATTATTAATTACTATAAATGAGTAATTACTAAACTAATTATAAATAATGAGATAATATTTTCACTTACGTATATTATATCTAATTAGATCATACTATTTAAGTACCTTTAGTAACTAAATAATAAATAATAATTATAGAAGTTTACCTATTACAAAATAGTGATGAAGTTCAACAATTATAATACCTATTTGATTTTTATCAAATAAAATAATTATATTAACTAACGTTCATGTATTCAATAAACATGCAAGTACTTGTTTATGATAAGTACTTGCATATTTATTATTTATTTAATTATTACGTGTAGTATATTACTATTATATTATGTAAATAAGAACTATAGGTAACTATGTACATTAACTCTGGTTCCTTTTGAAACGCGACTATGTATATAGTGCAATAATTATACATTTAATATTATATTCTGACATTAAGTACTCAGAATCTGAAACTCGAAAATCTACAGGAAATAGTACAATAGCACAGTATTAGGAGAGTAAGGTTATAATATCATGTGGCTTATAAGTAACAAATCGATAAACTACGATAGGTACTTACCACCTAATAAAATATAACATTTAAAGCAAAAGATTTAAGGATATAATTTGAACAACCATAAATGTAACATTTTTTGTAATTAAAATACTCATATTGTATACATTACAATTTACAGAGGAGCCGGTATAAAATACATACTATACTTTTAAATTAATATCATCTCGCCCGTCGACGGACTATTCAAATACAATTATAAAAAAAGAACCATCGTGTGTAAGAATAAATTAATTTCTATAGTAACAATGTAACATAGTAAATAATCTTATTTTATTGAATGTATTAACATAACTTTAAATTAATATAGTGAAAGTAATTTAATATTTAACAACAAAATTAGGAAATATGCACAAAACCTAATTATTTGAGCAATAATCATTAATACCAGGTTGGTAATAGGTATAAAAATAAGTTAACTTCGTGAATTAAAAAGGTTAGTTAATATAAATTATAATTATATTCTAATGTGAAATACTTGTTGTGAATATAGACGAAAAACATAAAAAAATCTATAGAGAAACACGGTAGTACCTATACTGTTATGGAATATATTTGAAACTAGATCTTAAGTGACGCGAATGACTCAAGAAGATGACCAAATAAAGAGGAATCTAAAAATTAAATTCAAATATCATAAGAAAAAATTGTTATCTTATAGACAACACAATTGCGACAATGTAAAATGAGAAGGACATTTTCGTAAATTGATCTAAGAGGAAAAAATATTTGTATTGATTTCTCATACTTTTTTTTGTTATTATTATTTAAAACAAATACAATTTAGTATTTACAATCTATTTAATAAAAAAAACATTAAGTTAATTTAATGACTTACTTAAAGATTAATACATCTCATGAAGAGCATAATGATAAAATCCCCCATTTGAAACAGCTCATTATTAAATCAAAAACTATACAATAATCAATCAAAATAGACAGCTAAGTTGCTTAATTTTATGTATCAGCTTGAAAATCCACTGATCATAGCCCTTGGCTATGAAAATACACCAGGAAAACTTTCGAGAAAGCAAAAGAGAAAATGGAGTAAAGACCTAGTATAAAATATATTTAAAGAAAAAAATCACACCAAAATTGTTACTACTCGGTGATTTATTTTAACTTGCCTTTCGTGTTCATATAAATTTAATTTAATCATATACATGCATTATGCATTATGAATAGATTTACTGCAGCTTTTATATTTCTAATAAATGTTTTGAAAAAATCATACACTCTAAAACCAATATGTTTATAATATGACATAATATTATGTCTATAGTCTATGTGCGAAACCAGACCAATATTTACATACAAATGCAAACAATGAATAAAAACGTAATGAAAAAAAAATGAAAATATATGTAAAAACGACAATACGTAGAGGACAAGAATAAAACAATTTTAAATTTGTTACCTACTCTTTTTTATTTTTGGAGGTTTTTTAAAAACAATCAACTTTCAGTAAAAACCGATTAAAACAATAAATTACTATTCACTACTACAAATAATAGGCCGTATTTATAAATGTCTAATAAAATAATTATGTTATAAATGTAGTTACTTATAATATGTGATAATTGAATTACATTTTTATTTTAACCATTAATAACTTTTTTAGCATAGAATTATAATTGGATACTTGGATATTTAACATAACTATGACTAGCTATATTTTTTAGCAAAAAAAATAATATCGTTACAGTAAATGGTGTGATAATGTACGTCTCGAAGCTTAATAGTTCCTGATGCTGTATAATTAAATTATTAGGTACTCATTACATTAAGTTATCTACCGCGTAGCTCTATATATCAGCTGGATTAATGCGTGCATATTATATATTTTTCAATTTGCATTACTGTAGTATATAATACGTATGCCCTATATGCATATAGGTACATAAATATATATTACGATTATATGGAAATGTAATCTATTATAAAAATCATACATTAATTTGAAGATGACACGCGAAAATGATTAACGATAAGACTTAACATTGACGCGTTACATACAAATATTGAAATATATAATAACAAACAATAATATTATTAACGCAGTTTTATAAAAAAAAGACTGTATTCTAAAAAATATTTTGGATTTAGAAAATATTATATATTGAAACCATATAGGTAGGTAGTTGATAAATCATAGATATAATATTAAAACATTTAATTTGTGGTAGGTACTTTATTATGTCATTCAACACGCAGTATTTGTGAATCAAATGTATGTTTGTTTATTTTGAGTTAAAAATAGGCTGAATGATTTCCTTTACACATTTATTTTGGATAATATTTACATTTATTCATTTGAAATGACGTAGTATGACGATCTAACACATTTTGTCAGGGTCATCTTTATACTTGTTTTCTTAAGTTAAAATCAAATACAAATTTTGAATAATAAATGGTAAGTATTTTGTTGTAATATAACTGAATTCGAGTAACTGCAATAAAGTCTATTTTCACATAAAAAAGTAACACTTTATGTCATATTTTCTAATTTATGATCAACTAGTTTTTAAAAGTTGTACATATTATTATACAGAGAGAACATAGAAACTACAACATATATAGATGCGTTCTTGTGCTATATCCCTTGCAAACACTAAAACATGCAACTATAATAATCATTTGAACTACCATTTAAACATTTTACAACTATAAAATGTCTAATATATAAATAGAACTTGCTCATATAACTAATTATTAACACATTATTGAACAAAACTGTAAATTGTAACTGTGGATATTGTTTTATTCGTAGGTAGTGTTGGGAGGGTTCCTAGGTACACTAGAGCTCTAAAATGTTAGAATAGCATTTAAAAAGAAGTTCCAATATTTCTCCACAGCCTCATTTGTTCATTAGTTTATATTATGTAGGGAGTACTAAGTATTATAAATTGTTATTCTTTTCATATGCAGTACCAATATATTATACTTTTAAATAGCATTTAACCGAATTGAACTATGTGCCTAATTTAAACTATACAATAGTATTATTTATTTTGAATATAAAACTATGTTTGTTAAAGTAATGGTTATCAATAAAAATTTTCTAATTAGGTTTAGGAAGTATTAGAGAAAATTAAAGTTGTTATCAGTTATCACCAACCATTTATAAATATATAACTCAAATGTGCATAATATAATGTTGACATTTTTAAGCTATGTATAAATAAAAAAATGTTAGGGATTTTAGAAGTTTATTTTTAAGTTAAAATAATAACTACTATAACTTAAAAAATATATTATTAACTATAGTATAATAGGAAATAACAAACAATTACTTGAAAGGCCCGTAATTTCTCTTCAAGTTTAGTAAAAGCCAATTGTAGTGCTTGGTGTTCATCTTTGAGAACTTGATTTAATTGTTTTAGCTCCGAGTTATTTTTCTGGTATAAAGATATTTCTGCTCGTAAACTAGCAACTAACTTTAAATTGTCAGTCAAACTGCAATCATAAAATGTTATACAAATTTTTAATAGTTTAAACATAAAACAATAAAGGGTACTATAAAGCAACCCATTTTCTTTCACAAAAATATTTAAGTATAAGTATACACTTATAATAACAATTGTGCTATAATAATATTAATAAATAATTATTACTCATACACATAATATTGTATGTTATTCATAATAGTATTAATCATTAAGACTATATTGTTAGAAACTTAGCAACAATCTGTAAATTTTTAATTTTTTTTTTTATTATTTGTTAAGTTTCCCTAATATAGCCATCTGAACTTGTTATCAAATACATAAAATACCATTTTAAACGTTAGGAACAATAGATATAAATTTAAATAATGCAAATAAACAGAGAAAATAGTTACAATTATAGTTACTACAGTTAAAGTTACAAAATTACTACAATAAAGTTAACAGTGATTTAGCAAATAAAATATATTAATAGTGGATAAAATAATGAGAAACTCTTATTAATTAGAAGGTTAAGAGGGCGTCCAAGCTTGAGTCGGTATCCCGAAGTTGAGTCATTCATTTTTAAAAGAATAATAATTGATGAAGTAGAATGAGATTCTAAAATTATAAAAAAAATTATACACTTAATAAAAAGACATTGTTAAAACTAGCTCCATCAAAAGTAAATAATAGACAAACTTGATCTTGGAAAAATAATTTATGATATTTTTTTTAAAATACTTATCATCTTACTTCATAACTATGTAACTATGTATTTTTAATCACTAATTTGAATTTACAATATTAAATACTAAAACTAATTATTTACTTAACAATTGTACTGTTTTATTCTAATCTTTACAGCTTAATAAGCTAAATAAAACTAAAATATAAATAATTATAAAATATAATTTGCACATTTAACATAATTGTGAACTTATCAATATACTTTTCTTGCACATAAGTAATTTTTTATTTCAATGTCCTGAGTTTTCAAATGGTTTCACTAAACTGCACATGTAATATTGAAAGCATTTCCGATAGAAAATTAGATTAGAAATAGAATTTATAACAATATATTTTAGTTTAATTCAACAACAATATTAAAGTATGCATACTTAACAAAATATTAGTTTACTATTTACTAAGAAATATTTTTAAAAAAGTTAAAATTCAAATAAAATATTACATTACAGTACTATAATATTGACAAAAAACCTACGAATATTTTAAAACGTGTGATTTTAGTTAAGATGTGAAGTATAAGTTTTATAGAACCTTAAAAAAAATTACATAAAATAATTTACAGGATATGAATACAATTGTAAATAATAAACTATACGTACAATTTTGAAGAATAAATGACTCAACTTGTTTCAGTATAAAAAAAAATAAAATTCTGAATTCTAGTGATTTATAAATAAACATTGTTCTATAAAAATACAACATCGTATAAAATAGTACATGAAGTAAATAACTGTTAAGTTTTACAAGATTTTACAAAACCATGCATAAATTAATTTAAAATCATTTATTTAAAAATTACTTAATACACTACTTATCAAATATTTTCTCACATTAAATTTTTAGTTTTTGTATGCTTTTATTTAAACTAAAATAGTTAAATAAACAAAAAATGAATTCATTCGAACTAAGTACCTATTTTTAGCTCAATGAAGAATTCTATTAACAAAAATAAAATTTGGTATTCATTAATGAGTACTTAAATGATCATAAATATTTATATTTAAATAGAAAAAATGCAATGATTATAAAAATAGTTTTACAATTATTAACAATCATAAAATATATACATTAATAACAGTAAGCACTTAAAACTAATAATTGATCAGGAATTCACTTTTAAGTAAAATTAATTACCTATCTTGCTGTTGCATTTATAAAAAATGAGTTGCTCATTGTTTAGGTTCTAAAATAATAGAATTGAAAAATAAAATAATATAAAGTAATAGTTATAAAACAAAGTAAAATATTATTATAGTAATCATGTACTTTTTACCAAAGTATAAAAAGTATATTTTACAACACTAAATTAAAATAGCATTAATTTTAATACCTGATTAAAAAAAAAATGTTAAAACTTAAAAAATAATTTTTTTTGCATTGATAATAACAAAAATTATTGTTTACAGTAATGTTCAATTACCTTATAAAGAAAACTAAACATAATAAAACAGAACGTATATACATTCTATAACATGAATTGAATATATTAATTAACTTTCATTGTGTTACATTAGTTACAGAATTATTATGAATCTGTTAACGAAATTGTGCAAATATAGTTTTATTGCTGCTATAGCATCATCATGTTATTATAAGAATTAGTTTATTTAATAAGTCATAAGTAATAACAGACTAAAAATTCAACAATCAGTATTGAATAATCAAGTATTGAATAATTTGTTATACAATCACAGACCTGTTGTTTTTACTTGTAAGTGTTTTCTCAGTCAATTGTAATTTTGCATTTAAATCTATTATCATTTGAGCATTTTCCCCTCGTCTACGATGTAATTCGGTCAATTCTTCTTGTTGCACAAGCAATTTTTGTTCTAAAGCCGATATTTTTTCTGAGTACACAAAATCACCACCAGTATTACCACGTATGATTTGGGATTCTAGCTGAATGTTTTGGGCTCGCAACAAAATTGAACTGTCATAAATTTTGTTATCTGAAAATGGCCAAAATGAAAAATAACATAACCAAATTACAAGTAATAATTACTATGAAATCAAGTCAGAATTAGTTATGCTCACAGAAATTGATTAGATTTTGAAAGCTGGCCGTCTCTCTGGAGTTTCTGCTCTCCAGTTGCTGGCGTATGACTGCCTTCCAGTCCATGATTTTTGAGGTCTCTGATTCAAACTAAACCTATAGCGTAAAACTCAGTCGACAGACAACCACCGGACAAACAGTTATGGCAGAGACAATATCGTCGAAGCATCCAAACTAAACACATCACCACTGACTGTGCATGGTGTATACCTACCATGTAACCCCTGGACGTCGGAAATATATGCTGTTGTTATTTATTCAACGTATTAGCTGGACAGGATGAAGAGGTGTTGCTCATTTAATACGTTCTTTGTCGGTGTCGAATCGCAGTCGTCGTGATCTGTCGTCGTTCTGCTCACGGCTGATAGACGTTGACGAAGATTTACGTAGATCTCAATAAATAATAACGATTAACGAATCATAATAATAATAATAGTAACAGGTAGCGTACAGTAATAATATTATTCAATTTTTGAAAAGAAAAAAATGATAATTGATAAGAGCCGTTTGCGTCCGTAAGGGCAGGCCGGCCATAGGTACCGTGAATGGTCGGCTGCGGTCGATACTGCGCACCATTATCAACCGCCGTGGTAACGGTAACGACCTGTGCGCGCGGTAACCTCCATCCGACCAATTCACCTACTGCACAACGACCGCGACTGTATCGCGTGATAACAGCAACGCGCGACGCTATCTCAAAACGTGTTGCACACAATGCACAACGGGCACTTCGATGCAATGACTATGTTTATTTATTGTATAATAATAATAATAATATTACGATTTATGATAATATTATTTTTGTGTGAAATATTGCACATTACACTGTAATTTGTTATTTGCGTATTAAGTTTTGTTACGGAATGGCATCCGCGAATGCAATTTTTCTGTTCTCGTGAGCATACGGAAAAGAAGCGCGCGCGCCACCGCCCATCTTTGTTATTATAAATGATTTATATCAATATATTATTAGGTAGGTATTTAACGATCATTAGTCATTGACCTGCAGGACGTGTATATTGAAGTGTAATTTAAGGCCGTTGGGTATAGATTCCCTCTCCACGCCAACGACGACGATACATTTGTTTCCTTCTCGTCCATTGGTCGCAGTATCAAAATACATTTTATAATAGTATACGAATTATATATTCATATATTTGTTAATAGATATTATACAAACATGTAACGTACGATTCTCAATATCGAAAATGAGACGACATGAGAGTAGTAATAAGAATATTGTTATTTGTTAGTCTTTAAGTAATAACCATCAGTTTCGGCATCAAACGTTATAAGCATCAACTATCAAGCATAATATTTAATATTATTAATATTATTATTTTTATTATACACATCACGTTTCTATCATGACTATATAGTATGTTCAATACATCGCTCTAACAAAAAAAAAATATCTACTGTAAAATAGGTAGGTATTATAGCTACATAAATTTATACCGTAATATTTGAAATTATTTATAATGACTACGTTCTGTTTGTATTTTTGAATCTCATGTCGTTCTTAAATGATTTGTTTAATGCGTGAGTTCTCAACACCAGGTATGCTATTATTAATACCAAGCAGTAGACCAGCTGGATTATGTATAAAAATTAAGTACATGTTTAATAAATTATTCATTCGTGACGAATTGCTTTAATTAAAAACAGAAAACCAACAATCATTTGATATTATTATTATTATTATTATTATTATTATTATTATTGCTGTGGTAATCGTAATAGTCATTTGATTTGTTCAATGCCATATTTTTATTATGAGTCGTGAATGATATCTATACACACATAATAAAAACATAATGCCTGAAAGTGAAACATATACCTAGGGAACAGATTTTGTTGAAATAAATATTTTTATGAAGTCTGAATATTTCATTACAGTTCGGTATGTTTCATGACATGTTGGATAAATCGACAAAAATAAATAGGTACATTTTATAATAAATATTTTTAAATATTTCAACGATGAAGTCATACTTCTTACATACATGTAATATTTTGTGATTTTTTTCCTATCGTAACAACCAGTACAGTTTTGAAAATTACGAGATGTACGTTTTTCAAATTATTTTCCACGTGATAAAAATGACAGTGATTTTGAATTTAAAAAAAAAGATTGAATCACTTACGTATAAGTTTAAGACACTTTTAGTAAAAATGGTAGGTAGCATGAGGACTGAGATGTAAAGTTATGTGTTACTATAGTTGTAGGTGTATATGATACAAAAACCAATAAAGTCTGATACGGATTTATATAGTTTTCAGTGTACACGGGGATCAACTTAAATGCGGCATGCAGCGCTTAACTACACGTTTCAACAACAGCCTTCGCAGGTGAACCCAATTTTATGCAGTCATATAATATCATAATGTACGTACACATAATATTATGCTGTATACATTTGTTCGCAATTATCGTTTACCGCTTGCCCAACAACAGAATAAACTGCAATTTGTTTGATGTGATACACACTACATTACAAAGTGTATAAGCATATACATATGTATAATATATGCACTTGCGATATAATAACGGTGAAATAGTTAAATGTCGTATAGGTATTTCGACGCACATGTAAATAAATTCCTAACGTACATTATATACATGTACATAAATAGGTATTATGTGTATGCAAAATGAAACAATAATACCTATACGCCCGAGTGCTTACATAGTACATTATTATAGTTTAACCGGCATTATACACTCCAAACTAGAGTGGTTTTATCGTGACTTAAACCGTGTACATGACGTGTGGGTGTGGACGAGTGCGAGTATTAAATCCGTGGTGTGTTTGTCGAATATCCCATGTCAATTATTTGAAATAAAAATGACGTACTTCAGACGGTTAGAATAAAAAAAAAAATCATTGTTCCACTTGAAGGAAATTTAGCTTGATGATAAAAATTATCCATAATATGGAATAGAAATAATTTAGATTTTTTTGTAAAGTTTGACTAATGACTTACCCCCGTTTACCTGCGCACCATTATATCATTGATGTAGGTACTTCTACATTTACTTATCAAACGGCGTATTGTATAGGCAATTTAGGGTCATCCGATTTCGTTTATATAATATATTATTATTTATTTTACATTATCAATTTTATGATTGCATGGCACAAGCCATATTAATTATTTTTAAATTAATACTGTATTACTACAATAAATCGGTTATCTAATAATTGAAAGCAGTGTTGGGTAGAAATGTACCAAAGTAACGAGTTACTATAACAAGGTTACTTTGTTAGTGGTTAAGTAATCCTGTTAGAATTGATAATAATGAAACGATAATAAATAATTTAGAACACTTTTGATATATAATTCCTATAATATAAGTCATAACACATGTTACCGTTTCGACTTATTTCGATTACCTATTGTAAATTCAAAACAAATAATACTAATAATACTAATGGTTATAATGCTGGTATTTTGTATATAAATAATTATTACATTATATTCCATTTTAACTTGTCATATTAATTCAAGTTTTAATAGTTTAAGCTGCATGTATATTTGTACCGTAAATTACAAAAATAGTTAATTAATTTTAACGGACTTAACTCGAAATTTCCAAAACGTTTTCTATGAATAGATCGCGTGGACTGGTGTTATTATAATTTTTTTAAGCATGAACATAAATATATTTTAATAGTTAAAAATTAAACAAAAAAATAGTTTGTCGTGTGTACTTTGTCATTGAATAGGTTACTGAAACGTTATTGTTTAACTTGAATTCAATGATAAATAATAATTGCACATAAAAAAAACGATTCTGAGTGTTCACGAATGTGTCTGCGGAATTAAGGATATTGTATCATATATTATTCTATAAATAAAACAGTAAGTTAAACTATTTTTTTTGCAAAAACAAATCGCATGTATTATAATATTAGTCTTGGAAAAAAGTTTCAAGTCCTGAAGATTAATATTTTTATTTATTTAAAACAAAGTAACTTCAACCGTTGTTTTTATTTAAATATCCAATTTTTTAATATCTGAACTTCAAATAATATATATATATACACGTAAAAAAGTGTGCAAATCTGTTTTTGAGATTTCTATATACCTCTAAGAATGACATGGTAATTGCATAATATATTCATGCTGTTGAAAACATAAAATGTTTTAAGTTTCAAATTTTGAACTTCAAACACAAAAAAATGTGTGCCATTATATTTTTAATATTTTTAAAATTTAAATTTTTATAAGAACCACATATGATACACTTTGTATCAAGCTTTTTAACTCTAAAAATGTTATCATTAATAAATAAAAAAACAACCTTAAAAACATTAAAATTTCGATCATCAATAAAAATTTGATCTTTGATGGTTACATAATACATCATGTCTAGTAATTACTAATATGTATATTTTGTGTACTTGTAAAGCATATTTTACAATTCTTCATGTTTGAATTAAAATGCCCTTAAAAAAAAATTAACAAACAATGCGTGGTTTTGATACTGAAATAATTGGCTAGACCCACGATTTTATCCTCTATTTAGTTTATTTAACTTATACAAAATAAAAATGGTACATAATATTTTAATATTAGTAAATATACTAATGTAATGATGTCATGTCTGCAAATGTGCACTGAAGTAACCATATCATATCATTTATTTAGATTACAAATGCACAATAGTTTCCTAGCTTACCTATTTATAATGATATCTATGAAGTGTACTAAACTAATGAATAAGAAGTATTATAGTGGGATAGCGTAGTACTGATAAAATATTGATAATTAAAAATAAATTATTTTCAATAGTATGTACTTCTTAACAAGTATAGTCTATATGGTAGGTAAGTACTATAACGTCACAGGTACGAGGTAAGTGACCTTCTATTATTTATTTATTTATTTTTTTTTGTTATTAAATATAAGAGTATTTATAATCCGTAATATTTATATACAATACAATAAGTGAATTTGATGGCTACAAAGATACATAACTTGAATGGCGCGAGGAGGGAGGCCCGCCAGTGAGGAAACCGTCTAACTTGGGGGAGAGTAGTTTTTTTTTAAATTTTAATTAATTTATATAGGTCGGGATTCAGGAGATCTCGACATCGGTGTTTTCTAATCGACTTGGAGGGTTGCCTGGTATAAATGTACTGGCTAAGTTAGAAATCAATGAATTTGTGTGGTTACTATCTTTTTGTGGATATTTTTTTCTTAAGCTGTGTGTTATACCTAATCAATAAATAAAGAATATTTATCTACAAATTTAAATTTCTATTGCTTGAATGAATTCTATGCATTTTTTTTTAAAGATTAATATTCTACGATATTTCGTGTCTTTATTTTATAAATACATTATACATTGATTAAACTTTAACGATGAAAAATAAATTAATCATTATCAATAGGCCACTTTAAACTGAAATTAATTGCAATGTAATTAAAACCAATGAGATAAGATAACATTTATTTAATATTACAATGTTT